CCCCTTTGAAGTCAATTTGTCACGCACAAGGTCAGACATTCGTGGTGCGATGTCCACTAGCCTGGCCCAACTGTGCCCCTCGCAGGGTCTGGAGAATTTTATTTTACTACGTTTCATGAGAATTTCAGACTTGGGAAAGAGGAGAACCCTAAGGCCGTCTATGTATATATAGCCGGAGGCACAGTCGCGCTCCCCATATCTAAATCCCGCCGAGACAATGAGAGGCCAATCGAGCAATGAGAATGTCTTACTATTCTCATTGCTGGATTGGACTCGAAATAAGGCCTTGCGGGCGGGCTTATTGATTAATACTCATCTGGCAATAACCTGTCAAAATGGTATGTCCCCAGGGAATGGTAATTAACTATATAAGACCTTGCAAACCAGAGTTAGGCCTCCTTTTGCCTCGACCGCGAGGAGACGCAGAGTCAAGGTTTTCGACCCACCCTCCTCCCCTTTGGCCGAGCAATTTTTGAGAATTTTGCATTCTGACATACTCCCCAGGGTGTTACACTGATCTTCAAGGATCTATTCGTCTGACCATAGTACACAAACTGGCACTCTTTACATCCAATTTTTTTACTATCCATCCCAGTATGAGGCTATTATGGAAATTTATATCACTTTATTAAAATGATAAATCATGTATAAACATTTTGCACAGCTTTGAAATAACATACTAATTAAATTGGAGCATTCATGCCAATTTCATGTCTCTAGTATTTTCCTTCTATTGCTTAACCCTTTCCCTAGAGCCATCGGTATTAAATTAATTAGTTTTTTTTAATAATTATTATTATTTATCTTTGTGTTGAGAACGTTTCAGCGGCTAAGACTTAATATTATAGGTTTTTCAAAAACGACCATATATACGTCCAAATATCCCTTTAAATTCATTGAATAAGAGAACATAGCTAGTCTTTGGGGGCACATTTAAAACCAGCCTCACCCGTAATTTGAAGTCTTAGTATTCTAAGTTACTGGCTGCTGCATAAATTAAGGAACACGTTTTCGTCTGCTCACTGTTTTTGCATTTAATTTGCTAAGCCATGCCGCGTAAATGCGATAAGCTATGTTAAGGCTGCAATCTTGTTTCCAGACGTTCACTGACAGATAGATAAGAGTAAGTGATAATTAGAATGGTGCAGCATGCACGTGTATATTTGCACTTAACTGCAATAAAATTTGATTTTCTTCAGTAGTCAAACTATCCATAGCCGGTAATAATTCGTCTGGTCCGTTCTTTAGTAGTATAATGGAAGAACTAGAAATGGAAACAACTTGAGATTTTTCTTGGCCTTAGCTTTGCACACAAATATCCTCAACATCGGCAGTGGTCAAACGTACATAAAGGCGTCCATTTCCACACAAGTGTTTCACAGGAATAAATTCCCAATTGTTTGAATCTTCTACAGCTGGAGCGCATATGGTAACTAGATATCAGCGGGAATTTTTGCTTTAATACCTCTTCGATTGCTTTTCTAATGGCCATTTTGTCTTGAAAACTCTTGAGATCCACTTCTCCCATTGCCAACACCAGGTCGTCGGGAATTGAGTAATCCCGACCTTTCTAAGAGCCAAACTGATTTAGGAACCGACCAGATTTTGTTGTTTTTTTTTTAACGCACGTCGCATTAAGGACTACAGAGGTATTCTTGGAACGCGATCGGCCATGTGGGACAAATGACAGTATAGATTTGTGTGTCCATAGATGCATTTGTAGGCGAACCCTAAGTCTCTTCGCTCTCTATCGTAGACAAGGGGTAATAGATGCAATGTTGCCAAACATTCTTTGTAAGATGTTTCCCCATCGTGTATCGCGGCTTTGAACCCTCTCTAACAGTGTTCTAAGGTGAACGGCAGCCAGAGACCAGACTTAGTAGCGAGGGAGAGGTGAGGCTTGAGAAGCGAGAGTTTCTTCTGACTTTTCTGTCCGTAATCAAGGCACATGATCTTTTCAGCAGACTGAGAGTCCTATTAGACTTGTTGACAATACAATTGACGTGCGAGTCCCATTTAAGGTTCTTGGAGATAATAACACCTACAATGGGAAACATTTCTAATGGTACAACACGATTATTTTGAACAATTTACTGAATTTCCCTGTTTCCCTACCCCCCTTTCCCCCTATCCCTCCCTTCCCTTCCCCTATTCAATGTTGGAAGATGCCCATGTTCAATACCCATTCAAAAATTGATCTCACATGAAACCAACATTGAATGAGGGGGGGTTTGGGGGGGAGGTTTACAATATATCTCTGAAAGGTACAAAAATACGAGCTTGTCCCGTATAAATATGTCCACCATTGTAGGTCCTTTTCTTCAGATACACTCTAGAGGTCATCAGTCATCAGGTGTAACTATTGTGTGAAACAATTTTGTGTCGTCTGCATACAAAGCAGAACCACTGTTTTCGGACAGGACATCAGGTAGGTCATTGATTAAAATAGTGAATAGTACGGAACCCACAATACTGCCTTGGTGCCTCGATCACCACTTTCTGTGTTCTGTTATTCAGATAAAAAAAAGATATAGATATATAGATATAGAATATGTTTGTTTTGATCCAAGGCTTAGCCAATAGAGTGGAGCACGGATAACAACTGTGTAACGCACGGGCGGATGCGCACAAAACCGTGTTATAATGGAGTGATCAGCCAAGAAATGTGGTCTTGAAGTCTCTTGCACACACAGCGCTCCATACATTTGCTGACAATACAGAGCAAGGAAATCGGTCTGTAGTTTTTGGCCTGTTAAAGAGCAATTAAACAATGCACAGAGGCTTGGAGCAATTTCAACGCTGCATTCCTTCAGGATTCATGCCGGAATGCCATCAGGGCCAGTTGATTTTGATAGTGAGTAATGATAGTGTTCAAGCTTGAGCGATGGTGTAAAATAGCTTTGTGATAACTCCAAAACAATTTTGGGTTGTCCTTAAAAGAACTTTCAATCTTGTCCAGATACTCAAAGTGTTTACATTTGACAAGGGACTTGAGGTCATTGCTTAAGGATTAAAGTTTCCGTTTACGCTCAGTTGTCGGGTTGGCTCTGTATTTTCTCAGTGCTCGACTGCAGCCATAAAGAGGTCTTTCCACTGGGTCCAGTAGTCGTCGATATCGTCTGATATGCATAGATCGAATGGCAATAGCTCCAGGCGGGATCTGAGATCTACAAAATCGGCTATCGTGTAGTTGAACGCTTTATGCTGGACACGGCGAGAAAAACTTCAGCCTGATAAAGAACTCCACTAGATAGTGATCTGAGGGAAAGCCGCTCTCAGCTGGAGTTTGAGTTGTAACCGAGTTGATAACTTCATCGAAGTTACATAGCAGCAGGTTTAATTTGTTTCCAGCAATGTGCGTCGGGCCAAGAATGTATTGGAGAAGGAAGTTCAATAAGAGTCGTCCTCGGATAAAGCGCCTAGGTTTGTTGGAGTGGATTCTTCTGGCGACCAAATGATAGAGCGAAGGTTACAATCTCAGACCAGGACCAGGCATGTAGATTCTGAGGCCTCTTGTAAGGACCCGTCCAGTTGGTGCAAGTCAATTGGAGTTGGCTCGGGGTGATAAAACACGTAAAGGATGGCTGATGAACTATAGTCTTTAATCAGCTTTAATCTGATTAGCAATATTAAGGCCTGGGTTGTTGTTCACAAAGGCCTTTATTTTTTATTCTATTAGTAATGACCGATTTCTTTTTGGCTTAAATGACTTAGTATTATTGGAATTATTAGAATTATTAGCATTTGTATCAAATAGTCTAGAACTGCACTTTCCGGATCAATATTTTTAAGTTGATCTGCAAATTGTTTGCCTTTCTTTAATACCTTTTCTGTGTTTATTAGTCCTGCTTCTGTTTTCTATCAGAATGATGAGAAATTTTCGAATTAATGAGAGGAACAGGTTATGTAGAGGGTTGGGTTTTGGATTCCAGTATACACTAACAGATGTTACAGAGTGTTTCTGGGTCGAGAGGAAATTATCCAGCTCATTTAAAACTTCCCCTAGATGCCGGAAATGATCTGCATCACCTTTGCATGTACAAAATGTAGAATAAACAGATCCAAGCAAATCAAGTATAAACCAAAGTCGATAATTCTTCTTATTTTCTGGTGTTCATTCTTTCTGTGATGGTAACACACCAGCCACATTATCATTATCTGGGGCTTAATGGGCTTGAGAGCTCTTCCACTTTGATGCAAGCTTTAGTCATCAAAAGAATGTACTTTGGGTGTTGCCTGTTGAGGTTTTCTAGATGATAGTTGTTACAGCGGCTTTCATAATTACGCGGCCTCGGCAAATTCGGCACCAGGTCAAAACATGCGTTTTGACTACCGTCAATCAAATTTACGATAACAACCTTAGAAATCCGATCAATAATCGACCAAACGACCTACCCAAGCATTCGGCGGGAACATGGAAGTCATGGAGCTAGAAGATTCACAAGAATTCTTAGATTACATTACCTGATACGGAGGACACCCAAATAGTCGATAATGTGGAAGATCAGGTACGGATTTTTTTTCGTAATTTTGAGGTTGTTTTACTCGAGCTTTTGTAATTCTTATTTCATTTAACTTACAAACTAAGTTTAGAAGTAAACATCAAAATCTGATTCAAACATTCGACTCTCATTTCGTTTATTGATATTTCTCGTCTATATTTTTTGCCTGACTCTTATAGAGAGAAGTAGCTCTATTCCTAAAAGTCAAAGATGTTAAAGTGTCGGGCGCGCTGACTACTCCATTTAGGCTTCCGCAAATGTTGACATATGACACGCTGTTCAGTTGTGTTAACAAGTACATACGTCAAAAAGGTCATGGCCTAGGAGTGAAGCGTTTATATTTTAAGTGGGCCAAGGGAGAAGTAATAGTCTGTCTGAATGGCGATTGTAGTTTTTCTGGCCAATGAAAGTGTGAAATTGGAGCTGGGATAAAAACAATGGTCAAGAGGTTGAATAGTTTATACAATGGGATTAAGCTTAATGTGATGGACTGAGAAATATGGCAAGAACACCCTTGTGCAATCCTTGTTTACAAGCAATCACAGTAGTTGTTCCTCTCTGAATCCCATTCTCATTTATGTATTGATTTCTTTTGTGAAGTCCATCCCAGTGCAAATTAAATCTTATTTCAGGAAAATCCATGGCTCGATGACTCAGTTGCAAATGGAGAACTATTCCCACCTGACTTGACAAAAACCTACAATCTGTTCCGCAACGATAGACAGCACACGAGTGGCGGGGTTGTTTTTGTAGCTGTGTCCAGGGACCTTGTTTCATCTAGAAAGACTGAATGGGAAACAGACTGTGAAATGATATGGGTGGAAATATGCATCTCTGGCTGCAAGAAACTATGTATATGTGCATTCTACAACCCACATGAAGGAAACGAACTAAGCTGTACAAATTTCTGCAAATCACTTAGCAATCTACGAAACTGTAACTCTCATGTCTGGGTTACTGGYGACTTCAACCTCCCTGGATATGACTGGAAAGCGAACTGCCTCAAGCCTGATTGCCACTATCCAGATCTAACATCTAGATATATAGAAGCCATGGACGACTGTTCGTTAACACAGATTGTCAAAGAGCCAACTAGAGGAGACAACACCCTACACCTGTTTGCTACAAACAAACCCACCCTGATAGAGAAAATCAATGTAATTCCTGGAATAAGTGACCATGATATAGTCTATGTAGAGGGTGATATAAATGCCATTCTCCATAAACAACAGCACCGAAAGATATTCTTGTATAAGAAAGCTGACTGGGACGGCTTGAGAAGTCACATGGCTGCTGAAGCTACTGCCCTCCTTCAGCAGTCCTCCGAAGATCCTACACCCACCGTAAATGAATTATGGATGCGATTCAAAAACAAGCTCCAACCAGCTGTCGACAAATTCATTCCATTCAAAATGTCCAGGAGCAGAAACAAGCTCCCCTATGTAGACTGTAAGCTAAGGCGGCTTATGAGGAAACGTGATAAGCTACATCGGAAAGGAGACCAAAGGTACAAAGTAATCAAAC